CCTGTTGGACAGATTGGACCAACTGCCTCTTGGTCCAATGGACCATTAGGATCAAGTGGCCTGTTGTCCCAATGGACCAGTTGGACCAGGTGGCCTGTAGGTCCAATGGACCGGTTCAACCAACTGCCTGTTGGTCGAATGGACCGATAGGACCAACTGGCCTGTTGGCCCAATGGACCGGTTGGTCCAATGGACCGGTTGGACCCACTGGCCTGTTGGCCCGATGGACCGGTAGGACCAACTAGCCTGTTGGCCCGATGGACCTGTTGGCCCAATGGACTGGTTCGCCCAACTTCCTGATGGTCGTATGGACCGGTAGGACCAACTGGCCTGTTGGCCCAATAGACCAGTTGGACCAACTAGACTGTTGGTCCAATGGACCGGTTGGACCAGCTGGCCTGTTGGTCCAGTAGACCGGTTGGACCAACTGGCCTGTTGGTCCATTGGACCGGTTGGACCAACGGGCTTGCTGGTCCATTGGACCGGTTGGACCAACTGGCCTGTTGGTCCAATGTACTAGTTGGACCATATTGCCTATTGGCCCAATGGACCGTTTGGACCATCTGGCCTGATGGTCCGATGGACCGGTTGGACCAACTGGCTTGTTGGCCCGATGGACCGTTTGAACAAACTGGCCTGTTGGCCCGATGGACCGGTAGGACCAACTGGCCTGTTGGCCCAATGGACCGGTTGGACCAACTAGCTTGTTGGCCCGATGGACCAGTAGGACCAAGGCCGGTTGGCCCGATGGACCGGTAGGACCAACTGGCCTGTAGGTCCGATGGACTGGTTGGACCAATTGGCCTGTTGGTCCGACAGACCGGTTGGACCCACTGGCCTGTTGGTCTGACGGACCGGTTTGACCAACAGGCCTGTTGGCCCGATGGACCGGTTGGACCAACTGCCTCTTGGTCCAATGGACCGTTAGGACCAACTGGCCTGTTGGCCCAATGGACCGGTTCGACCAACTGCCTGTTGGCCGAATGGACAGGTAGGACAAATCTGGCCTGTTGGCCCAATGGGCCGGTTGGACCAACTGGCCTATTGCTCCAATGGACCGGTTGGACCCATTGGCCTGTTGGCCCAATGGACCAGTTGGACCACTGCCTGTTGGTCCAATGAACCGGTAGGACGAACTGGCCTGTTGGCCCAATGGACCTGTAGGACCAACTGGCCTGTTGGCCCAATGGACCATTTGGACCAACTAGCTCATTCGTCCAATGGACCAGTTGGACCCACTGCCTGTTGGTCCAATCGACCAGTTGGACCAACTAGCTTGTTGGTCCAATGGACCAGTTGGACCAACTAGCCTGTTGGTCGAATGGACCAGTAAGATCAACTGGCCTATTGGCCCAATGGACCGGTTGGACGAACTAGCTTGTTGGTCCAATGGACCGGTTGGACCCACTGGCCTGTTGGCCTAATGGACTGGTTGGACCAACTGGCCTATTGGTCGAATGTACCCTTGGCCCTATAGACCTGTTGGACCATTTGGCCCATTGGCCCAATGGACCGGTTGGACCAACTGGCCTGTTGGTCCAATGGGCGAGTTGGACCAACTAGCCTGTTGGCCCAATGGACCGGTTGGACCAACTAGCGTGTTGGCCGGACGGACCTGTTGGATCAACTGGCCTTTTGGTCCCATGGACCAGTTGGACCAACTAGCCTGTTGGTCCAGTGCACCTGTAGGACCAACTGGCCTGTTGGCCCGATGGACCGGTTGGACCAACTGGCTTGTTGCCCTCATGGACCAGTTGGACCAACTGGCCTGTTGGTCAATGGACCAGTTGGACCAACTGGCCTATTGGCCCAATGGACCGGTTGGACCTATGCACCGGTTGGACCAACTGCTTGTTGGCCCGATGGACCGATTGGACCAACTGTTAGTTGGTTTGATGGACCGGTTGGACCAAATGGCCTGTTGGCCCCATCACCGGTTGGACCAACTGTCCTCTTGGTCGGATGGACCGGTAGGACCAACTGGCTTGTTGGCTCGATGGACCGGTTGGACCAAGTGGGCGATTGGCCTCATAAACCGGTTGGACCAACTGGCCTGTTGGCCCGATGGACCAGTTGGACCAACTGGCCTATTGGCCTCAAGGACCGGTTGGACCAACAAGCCTGTTGGCCAGATGGACCGGTTGGACCAATTGGCTTGTAGGCCTAATGGACTAGTTGGACCAACTGGCCTGTTGGCCCGATGGACCAGTTGAACCAACTGGCGTGTTGGTCCAATGGACTGGTTGGACCAACTGGCTAGTTAGCCCGACTGACCGGTAGGACCAACTGGCCTGTTGGTCCGACGGACTGGTTTAGACCAACTGGGCTGTTGGCCCAATGGATCGGTTTGACCAAGTGGCCTATTGGCCTGATGGACCGGTTCGACCAACTGCCTGTTGGTCCAATAGACCAGTTCGACCAACTGGCCTGTTGGCCCAATGGACCAGTAGGGCCAACTGGCCTGTTGGCCCAATGGACCGGTTGGACCCACTGGCCTGTTGGCCCAATGGACCGGTTGGACCAACTGGCCTGTTGGTCCAATGGACCGCTGGACAAACTAGCCTGTTGGCCCAATGGACAGGTTGGACCAACTGGCCTGTTGGACCATTGGACCGGTTGGACCAACTAGCCTGTTGGTCCGATGGACCGGTTGGACCAACTGCCTCTTGGTCCAATGGACCGTTAGGACCAACTTGCCTGTTGGTCCAATAGACCAGTTGGACCAACTGGCCTGTTGGTCCAATGAACCAGTTCGATCAACTGGCCTATTGGCCCAATGGACCGGTTGGACCAACAGGCCTGTTGGTCCAATGGACCACCTGTTCGACCAACTGCCTGTTGGCCCAATGGACCGGTTGGACCCATTGGCCTGTTGGCCCAATGGACCGGTTGGACCAACTGGCCTGTTGGTCCAATGGACCAACTGTTCGTCCAACTGCCTGTTGGCCCAATGGACCGGTTGGACCCACAGGCCCGTTGGCCCAATGGACCGGTGGGACCATCTTGCCCGTTGGCCCTATGGACCGGTTGGACCAACGGCCTGTTGGTCTAATGGACCGATTGGATCAACTGGCCTGCTGGCCCAATGGACCGGTAGGACCAAATGCCTGTTGGTCCAATGGACCGGTTGGACCAACTGGCCTGTTGGCCCAATGGACCGGCTGGACCAACGGATTTGTTGGTTCAATGGACCACCTGTTCGACCAACTCGCCTGTTGGCCCAATGGACCGGTTAGACCCACAGGCCTGTTGGCCGAATGGATCGGTTGGACCAACTGGCCTGTTGGTCCATTGGACCGGTTTGACCATCTAGCGCGTTGGCCCTATAGACTGGTTGAACCAACGACCTGTTGGTCTAATGGACAGGTTGGATGAACTGGCCTGCTGGCCCAGTGGACCGGTTGGACCAAGTGCCTGTTGGTCCAATGGACCGGTTCGACCAACTGCCCGTTGGTCGAATGGACCGGTAGGACCAACTGGCCTGATGGCCCAATGGACCGATTGGACCAGCTGGCCTGTTGGTCCAATGGACCGGTTGGATCCACTGGCATGTTAGCCCAATGGACCGGTTGAACCAACTGGCCTATTGGCCCAATGGAACGGTTGGACCAACAGGCCTGTTGGCCTCATGGACCAGTTGGACCAACTGGCCTATTGGCCCAATGGACCGGTAGGACCAACTGGCCAGTTGGCCCAATGGACCGGTTGGACCCACTGGCCGGTTGGCCCAGTAGACCGGTTGGAGAAACTGGCTAGTTGGCCCAATGGACCTGTTGGACCAATTGCCTGTTGGTCCAATCGAACAGTAGGACCAACTGGCCTGTTGGCCCAATGGACCAGTCGGACCAACTAGCCTGTTGGTTAGACCAACAACTTGTTGGTCGAATGGACCGGTAAGACCAACTGGCCTGTTGGTCCAATGTACCGGTTGGACCACTGGCCTGTCCGAACGATGGACCGGTTGGAACAACTGGCTTGTTGGCCCAATGGACCAGAAGGACGAACTGGCCTGTTGGCCTGATGGACCGGTGGGACCAACTGGCCTATTGGCCTGATGGACCGGTAGGACCAACTGGCCTGTTGGCCCGATGGACTGGTAGGACCAACAGGCCTGTTGGCCCGATGGACCGGTTGGACCAACTGGCTTGTTGGCCCAATGAACCGGTTGGACCAACTCGCTTGTTGGTCCGATGGACCGGTTGGACCAACTGGCTTGTTGGCCCGATGGACCGGTTGGACCAACTGGCTTGTTGGTCCGATGGACCGGTTGGACCAACTGGCCTGTTGGCCCGATGGACCGGTTGGAACAACTGGCTTGTTGGTCCGATGGACCGGTTGGACCAACTGGCCTGTTGGCCCGATGGACCGGTTGGAACAATTGTCCTGTTGGCCCAATGGACCGGTTGGACCAACTGCTTGCTGTCCAATGGACAGGTAGGACCAATTGACCTGTTGGCCCAATATACCAGTTGGACCAACCGCATGTTGGTCCAATGGACCGGTAGGACCAACTAGCCTGTTGGCCCTATGGACGGGTTGGATGTTGGACCAACTCGCCATTTGGCCCAATAAATCGGTTGGACAAACTGCATGTTGGTCCAATGGACTGGTAGAACCAACTGGCCTCTTGGCCCAATGGACCGGTTGGACCAACTGGCATGTTGGTCCAATGGACTGGCTGGACCAACTGGCCTGTTGGCCCAATGGTCCCAGTTGGCCTGTTGGTCCAATGGACCGGTAGGACCGACTGGCATGTTGGCCCAATGGACCAGTAGGACCAATTGCATGTTGGTCCAATGGACCGGTAGGACCAACTGGCCTGTTGGCCCAATGGACCGCTTAGAACATCTGGTCCATTGGTCTAATGGACCGGTTGGACTAACTGGCCTGTTGGCCCAATGGACCAGTTGGACCAACTAGCCTGTTGGCCCAACGGACAGGTTGGACCACCTAGCCCGTTGTCCATGTGGACCGGTTAGACAAACTAGCTCGTTGGTCCAATGGACCGGTTGGACCAACTGGCCTGTTGGTCCGATGGGCAGGTTGGACCAACTGGCCTGTTGGTCCGATGGACCGGTTGGACCAACTTGCCTGTTGGCCCGATGGACTGGTTGGACCAACTGGCCTGTTGGCCCGATGGACCGGTTGGACCAACTGGCCTGTTGGCCCGATGGACCGGTTGGACCAACTGGCCTGTTGGCCCGATGGACCGGTTGGACCAACTGGCCTGTTGGCCTGATGGACCGGTTGGACCAACTGGCCTGCTGGCCCGATGGACCAGTTGGACCAACTGGTTTGTTGGCCCGATGGACCGGTTGGACCAACTGGCCTGTTGGCCGGATGGACCGGTTGGACCAACAGGCCTGTTGGCCCGATGGACCGGTTGGACCAACAGGCCTGTTGGCCCGATGGACCGGTTGGACCAACTGGCCTATTGGCCCGATGGACCGGTTGGACCAACTGGCCTGTTGGCCCGATGGACCGGTTGGACCAACTGGTTTGTTGGCCCGATGGACCGGTACGACCAACTGGCCTGTTGGCCCGATGGAACGGTAGGACCAACTGGCCTGTTGGCCCGATGGACCGGTAGGACCAACTAACCTATTGGCCCGATGGACCGGTAGGACCAACTGGCCTGTTGGCTCGATAGACCGGTAGGACCAACTGGCCTGTTGGCCCGATGGACCGGTTGGACCAACTGGCCTGTTGGCCCAATGGACCGGTTGGACCCACTGGCCTGTTGGTCCAATGGACAGGTTGGACCATCTGGCCCGTTAGCTCTATGGACCGGTTGGACCAACTGGCCTGTTGGTCGAATAGACCGGTTGGACCATCTGGTCCGATGGCCCTATGGACCGGTTGGACCAACTGCCTGTTGGTCCAATGGACCGGTTGGATCAACTGGCCTGCTGGCCCAATGGAGTGGTTGGACCAACTGCCTGTTGGTCCAATGGACCGGTTGGACCAACTGGCCTGTTGGCCCAATGGACCACCAGTTCGAACAACTGCCTGTTGGCCCAATGGACCGGTTGGACCCACTGGCCTGTTGGTCCAATGGACCGGTTGGACCATCTGGCCCGTTAGCTCTATGGACCGGTTTGACCAACTGGCCTGTTGGTCCAATGGACCGGTTGGAACAACTGGCCTGTTGGTCCAATGGACCGGTTGGACCCATTGGCCTGTTGGCCCAATGGACCGGTTGGACCAACTGGCCTGTTGGTCCAATTGACCAGTTGGACCCTCTCGCCCGTTGGCCCAATGGACCGGTTGGACCAACTGGCCTGTTGGCCCAATGGACCGGTTGGACCAACTAGCATGTTGGTCCAATGGACCGGTTGGACCAACTGGCCTGTTGGTCCAATCGACTGGTTGGACCAACTGGCCTGTTGGCCCAATAGACCGGTTGGACCAACTGGCCTGTTGGCCCAATGGAACGATTGGACCAACTGGCCTGTTGGTCCAATTGACCTGTTCGACCAGCTGCATGTTGGCCAGATGGACCAGTTGGACCAACTGGCATGTTGGTCCAATGGACTGGTTGGACCAACTGGCCTGTTGGTCCAATGGACCAGTTGGACCCACTGGCCTGTTGGTCCAATGGACCAGTATGACAAACTGCATGTTGGTCCAATGGACCGGTTGGACCAACTGGCCTGTTGGCCCAATGGACCGGTTGGACCAACTGGCCTGTTGGTCCAATGGACCGGTTGGACCATCTGGCCCCTTGGTTTTATGGACCGGTTGGACCAACTGGCCTGTTGGCTCTATGGACCGGTTGGACCAACTGCCTGTTGGTCCAATGGACCGATTGGATCAACTGGCCCGCTGGCCCAATGGACCGGTTGGACCAACTGCCTGTTGGTCCAATGGACCAGTCAGACCAACTAGCCTGTTGGCCCAATGGACCACCTGTTCGCCCAACTTCCTGTTGGCCCAATGGACCGGTTGGACCCACTAGCCTGTTGGTCCAATGGATCGGTTGGACCATCTGGCCCGTTAGCTCTATAGACCGGTTGGACTAACTGGCCTGTTAGTCGAATGGACCAGTTGGACGATCTGGCCCGTTGGCCCTATGGACCGGGTGGACCAACTGCCTGTTGGTCCAATGGACCGGTTAGACCAAATGGCATGTTGGCCCAATGGACCACCAGTTCGACAAACTGCCTGTTGACCCAATGGACCGGTTGGACCCACTGGCCTGTTGGTCCAATGGACCGGTTGGACCAACTGGCCTGTTGGTCCATTGGACCGGTTGGACCATCTGGCCCGTTTTCCCTATGGACCAGTTGGACCAACGGCCTGTTGGTTTAATGGACCGGTTCGATGAACTGGCCTGCTGGCCTTGTGGACCAGTTGGACCAACTGCCTGTTGGTCCAATGAACCGGTTGGACCAACTGGCCTGCTGGCCCAATTGACCGGTTTGACCAACTCGCCTGTCGGTCCAATGGACCAGTTGGACCAACTAGCCTGTTGGCCCAATAGATCTGTTGGATCAACTGGCCTGTTGGCCCATTGGACCGGTTTGATATTGCATCTTGGTCCATTGGACCGGTTGGACCAACTGGCCTGTTGGCCTAATGGACCGGTTGGACCAACTGGCCTGTTGGTCCAATGGACCGGTTGGACCATCTGGCCCCTTAGTTCTATAGACCGGTTGGACCAACTGGCCTGTTGGTCCAATGGACCGGTTGGACCATCTGGCCTGTTGGCCCAATAGACCGGTTGGACCAACTGGCCTGTTGGCCCAATGGAACGATTGGACCAACTGGCCTGTTGGTCCAATTGACCTGTTCGACCAGCTGCATGTTGGCCAGATGGACCAGTTGGACCAACTGGCATGTTGGTCCAATGGACTGGTTGGACCAACTGGCCTGTTGGTCCAATGGACCAGTTGGACCCACTGGCCTGTTGGTCCAATGGACCAGTATGACAAACTGCATGTTGGTCCAATGGACCCGTTGGACCAACAAGCATGTTGGTCCAATGGACCGGTTGGACCAACTGGCCTGTTGGCCCAATGGACCAGTTGGACCAACTGGCCTGTTGGTCCAATGGACCGGTTGGACCATCTGGCCCCTTGGTTTATGGACCGGTTGGACCAACTGGCCTGTTGGCCCTATGGACCGGTTGGACCAACTGCCTGTTGGTCCAATGGACCGATTGGATCAACTGGCCCGCTGGCCCAATGGACCGGTTGGACCAACTGCCTGTTGGTCCAATGGACCGGTCAGACCAACTGGCCTGTTGGCCCAATGGACCACCTGTTCGACCAACTTCCTGTTGGCCCAATGGACCGGTTGGACCCACTAGCCTGTTGGTCCAATGGATCGGTTGGACCATCTGGCCCGTTAGCTCTATAGACCGGTTGGACTAACTGGCCTGTTAGTCGAATGGACCAGTTGGACGATCTGGCCCGTTGGCCCTATGGACCGGGTGGACCAACTGCCTGTTGGTCCAATGGACCGGTTAGACCAAATGGCATGTTGGCCCAATGGACCACCAGTTCGACAAACTGCCTGTTGACCCAATGGACCGGTTGGACCCACTGGCCTGTTGGTCCAATGGACCGGTTGGACCAACTGGCCTGTTGGTCCATTGGACCGGTTGGACCATCTGGCCCGTTGCCCTTATGGACCAGTTGGACCAACGGCCTGTTGGTTTAATGGACCGGTTCGATGAACTGGCCTGCTGGCCCTGTGGACCAGTTGGACCAACTGCCTGTTGGTCCAATGAACCGGTTGGACCAACTGGCCTGCTGGCCCAATTGACCGGTTTGACCAACTCGCCTGTTGGCCCAATAGATCTGTTGGATCAACTGGCCTGTTGGCCCATTGGACCGGTTTGATATTGCATCTTGGTCCATTGGACCGGTTGGACCAACTGGCCTGTTGGCCTAATGGACCGGTTGGACCAACTGGCCTGTTGGTCCAATGGACCGGTTGGACCATCTGGCCCCTTAGTTCTATAGACCGGTTGGACCAACTGGCCTGTTGGTCCAATGGACCGGTTGGACCATCTGGCCCGTTGGCCCTATGGACCGGTTGGACCAACTGCCTGTTGGTCCAATGGACCGGTTGGATCAACTGGCCTGCTGGCCCAATGGACCGGTTGGACCAACTGCCTGTTGCTCCAATGGACCGGTCAGACCAACTGGCCTGCTGGCCCAATGGACCACCTGTTCAACCAACTTCCTGTTGGGCCAATGGACCGGATGGACCCACTAGCCTGTTGGTCCAATGGACCGGTTGGACCATCTGGCCCGTTACCTCTATGGACCGGTTGGACCAACTGGCCTGTTGGTCGAATGGACCAAAGGACCATCTGGCCCTTTGGCCCTATGGACCAGGTGGACCAACTGCCTGTTGGTCCAATGGACCGGTTGGATCAACTATCCTGCTGGCCCAATGGACTGGTTGGACCAACTGCATGTTGGTCCAATGGACCGGTTGGACCAACTGGCATGTTGGCCCAATGGACTACCAGTTCGACCACCTGCCTGTCGACCCAATGGACCGGTTCGACCCACTGGCCTGTTGGTCCAATGGACCCGTTGGACCAACTGGCCTGTTGGTCCATTGGACCGGTTGGACCATCTGGCCCGTAGGCCCTATGGACCAGTTGGACCAACGGCCTGTTGGTTTGGACCGGTTCGATGAACTGGCCTGCTGGCCCAGTGGACCGGTTGGACCAACTTCCTGTTGGTCCAATGATCCGGTTGGACCAACTGGCCTGCAGGCCCAATGGACCGGTTGGACCAACTGCCTGTTGGCCCAATGGACCGGTTGGACCCACTGGCCTGTTGGTCCAATGGACCGGTTGGACCATCTGGCTTGTTCGTGCAATGGACCGGTTGGACCGTCTCACCCGTTGGCCCTATGGACCGGTTGGACCAACTGGCCTGTTGGTCCAATGGACCGGTTGGAGCGTCTCACCCATTGGCCCTATGGACCGGTTGGACCAACTGGCCTGTTGGTCCAATGGACCGGTTGGAACAACTAGTTGTTGGCCCAATGGACCGGTTGGACCAACTGCCTGTTGGCCCCATGGACCGGATGGACCAACTGCGTGTTGGCCCCATGGACCGGTTGGACCAACTAGCCTGTTGGCCTGATGGACCGGTAGGACCAACTTGCCTGTTGGCCCGATGGAGTGGTTGGACCAACTGACCTGTTGGCCTCATGGACTGGTTGGACCAACTGGCCTGTTGCCCCGATGGACCGGTTGGACCAACTAGACTGTTGGCCCGATGGACCGGTTGGAGCAACTGCATGTTGGTCCAATGGACCGGTTGGACCAACAAGCCTGTTGGCCCTGTGGACTGGTTGGACCAACTACCCTGTTGGCCCAATTGACCAGTTAGACCCACTGGCTTGTTGGTCCGATGGACCGATAGGACCAACTGGCTTGTTGGTTCGATGGACCAGTTGGACGAACTGGCCTATGCCTCAGGGACCGGTTGGACCAACTGGCATGTTAGCCCAATGGACCGGTTGGACCAACTGGCCTGTTGGCCTCATGGACCGGTTGGACCAACTGGCCTGTTGGCCAGATGGACCGGTTGGACCAGTTGGCCGGTTTGCCCGATGGACCAGTTGGACCATATGGTGTGTTGGTCCAATGGACCGGTTGCACCAACTGGCCTTTTGGCCCAATGGACTTGTTGGACCAGATGGCCTGTTGGCCCGATGGACCGGTTGGGCCAACTGGCTTGTCGGCCCGACTGACCGGTAAGACCAACTGGCCTGTTGGTCCGACGGACCGGTTAGACCAACTGGCCTGTTGGCCCGATGGACCGGTAGGACCAACTGGCCTGATGGCCCAATGGACCGATTGGACCAACTGGCCTGTTGGTCCAATGGTACGGTTGGACCCACTGGCATGTTGGCCCAATGGACCGTTTGAACCAACTGGCCAATTGGCCCAATGGAACGGTTGGACCAACCGGCCTGTTGGCCTCATAGACCGGTTGGACCAACTGGCCTATTGGCCCAATAGACCGGTAGGACCAACTGGCCTGTTGGCCCAATGGACCGGTTGGACCAGCTGGGCTGTTGGTCCAATGGACCGGTTGGACCCACTGGCATGTTGGCCCAATAGACTGGTTGGACAAACTGGCCACTTGGCCTAATGGACCGGTTGGATCAACTGCCTGTTGGTCGATGGACTGGTAAGACCAACTGGCCTGTTGGCCCAATGGACCGGTTGGACCAACTGGCCTGTTGGTCCAATGGACCAATTGGACCACTGGCCTGTTCGCCCAATGGACCGGTTGGACTAACAGGCCTGTTGGCCCAATGGAAATGTTGGACCAAC